CTGGCTCCAAGGCAGGGTGGCATAGCACAGGGGCAACAGTTCAAGGCGGCAGAAGACAGCAAAAGCAACAAGAGCAAAAAGAGATGGGGGAGCAAGCCGCTTTTCCTCCCTTATGTCGTATACAGGCTCTCAATCCTAGGGAGGGTCCTTTACACCCACACCATATGCATGCCCTCCTCTTGCACAGGCTCAGGATGAATACAAAGTGAGGACTCCATCCCCTTGCTGAGTCCTTTAGTTAAGCTTCTAAATTCACACTGACAAAAATGCATCAACCATTACATATAATAAATATCATAACCGTTAGATGATGTGATAACAAATATGCTTGCTAATTGCACTCGGTTCCCAATACAGAGTTTCTAAATCCTTTGGTAATAAGGTGATTTTTAGTGTGTCCTAGATAGCTTCAGTATGGAAACCAGGTGTCAGAGGAACTAACCATGTGATTAAAAGGTTTAGAGCTTTCAGCCCTGTTTCTGGCTCTTCTGAAAGGAGAGTGGAAGTAGAGAAATAGTCAATTACTCAATAGTCAACAATGTGACAAAATCATGCCTAAGCAATGCATTTACCATGGAAATGCCTTAAAATGCAATCTAATAAGCTTAAGCTTCAGACCTGGTGAATACATTCAATTTGCTGGGAAGGTAATATATTCAAAGAGGACATGGAAAAAGCTCCTTACCACTTCACAGTTATACCTTACACAAAGTATCTTTTTCATTTAGATGTATCTCAGTTATAACCTTTATAATAAATACTATAAATAAAACATCTTCCTGAGTTCTATGACATACTGTAGCAAATTATTAAACACTACTAAGGGATCATGGGAATCCCATGATCAGTCAGTTGATCAGAAGGAAGTAGAGCAATGAAAGTGGAAATTAATGATAAAAGGAACCACAAAAACTCCATAAACACATGGAAATTAAATAACACCCTCGTGAACAACCAATGGGTCACAGATAAACTTAAAAAATATCTATAATCAAATGAAAATGTAAATACAAATTGCAGGAATCTGTGAGATGCAATGAAAGCAGTCCTCACAGGGAAATTTATAGTGGGGAACTCACACATCAGGAAAATGAATGAGAACAAATAAATAGCCTAATGCTGCACATCAAACTTTTCAAAAAAGACAAACAACTCAAGCCCAAAGCCCAAAGAGGGAAGGAAATTATAAATCTCAGGGGAGAAATTTTAACAAAACTGAGACAAAAAAGCAATACAAACAAATAATGAATCAAAGAGTTGGTTCTTTGAAACAATAAATAAATTTGATAAACCCCTAGAAAAGCTTATCAAAAAAGGAAAGAAAAATCTCAAATTCATGCAATAAGGAATGAAAAGGTTGAAATCATTACAGAGCCTATAGAAATTCAGAAAATCATCAATACGTACTTCAAAAATTTTCACTCTCATTGGGTAGAAAATACAGAAGAAATGGAGAGATTCCTACATATGTACAAATTACTAAAGCTGAATCAAGAATATATAAAAATTCTGAGTAACCCAAAATCAGTTAATAAAGTTGAAAAGGTGATTAAAACTTACCAACACAGAAAAGCCCAGGTCCTGATGTATTCACAGCTGAAATTTATAAGAAATTTAGAGAAGATTAATGTAAATACTCCTCAAACTCTTCATGAAATTGAAAGGGAAATAATTCTCCCTAACTAATTTCTGGAGCCAAGTATTATACTGATACCAAAACCAGAGAAACATCCAACAAAGAGAACTGCAGGGAAATCTCCCTAATGAACATAGATGCAAAAATACTCAACAAAATACTAGCAAACAGAATGCACCAAATCATCAATAATATTATACACCATTACCAAGTGGGATTCGACCCAGGGATGCAGGGATGGTTCAATACACACAAATCAATCAATGTAATACACTATATCAACAGAGTAAAAAACGAACACCACATGATCAACTCAACAGATGCAGAAAAATCCTCTGAAAAAGTCCAACACTCATTACTGATAAAAACCCTACAGAAAATTGGAATAGATGGCCTTCACTTCAATCTGATCAAAACCATGTATGACAAACCAACAGCCAACATCATAAAAAATGGACAAAAATGGAAAGCTTTCACTTTAAAATCAGGAACAAGACAAGGATGTCCATTGTCACCACTCCTATTCAATACAGTTGTGGAAACAATAGCCAGAGTAATTAGACAAGAGAGAGAAATAAAAGGAATAAGGATAGGAAAGGAAGAAGTTAAATTATCATTATTCACAGATGACATGATATTCTACGTGGAAGACCCCCAAAACTCCACCAAAAGACTCCTAGAATTAATAAACAAATTCAGTAGCATATCTGGATACAAAGTCAACACTGAGAAATCAATAGCATTCCTACAGAAAAACAGCAAGCACATTGAGAGAGAAATTAAGGAAACCATACCCTTCACAATAGTATCCTAAAAATTGAAATACTTAGGAATTAGTCTAGCAAAATAAGTAAAAGATCTATACAGTGAAAATTTAAGTACTTTTAAAAAGGAGATTGAAGAGAATTTCAGAAAATGGAAAGATATTGTTTGCTCATGGATAAGAACAATCAACATTGTGAAAATGGACATACTCCCAAAATTGTTATAAGATTCAATGTAATCCCAATCAAAATACCATTAGTATGCCTCACAAATCTACAGAAAACATTCCTAAAATTCATCTGGAACCAGAAGAGACCAAGAATAGCAAAAGCAA